GAGTTCTGGATTTTCGCGCAGTTTCATTCAGTCCTGGTTGCCATACTGTGAGGTGTGGCTTCACAAGAAGACACAGAGAGGGTGAGTAACCTGGCCAGGCCGCCCAGCCGCTCAGCCACCCAGCGCCACAGCCAGCCCAGGGGGGCCCGCGGCCGCACCCCACCCAGGACCTCTGAAGGACGACGGGCGCCAGCGAGGGCAGAGGGCTGCTTGAGGGATTGTCAGAGGAAGGGTAAAGAAGGGGCTAAGAGATGCTGTGAGCAGCTGCTCATCCAGCAGGACAAAATCCTAAGCAGAGAAGGAATAACAGATAGAAAACAAATCAGAGGGAAAAGATGATTGACAGCAGTGTGACTGTTCAATGTNCGAGAAGGAATAACAGATAGGAAACAAATCAGAGGGAAAAGATGATTGACAGCAGTGTGACTGTTCAATGTATGTGACTAATAGTGTGTTTTTCCTATTTTTATAAAACTGAGAAAGGAAGATAAGCCCCTGTTAATTCATCATATAGTCTAGCACACCTCGGCGGCCGAGTAGAAGGACCATGCCACTCGCCACGACTGCAGACAGGGAGCGAAGAAATCCTCGGAGGGCCCCGCGGGTCTACAGGAGCCTCTCAATCACTCTGTCAGTCTTCAGGGTCGTTATTCAAGTTGCTATCCCCAATTTTGCTGGATACATCAGATCAACGCCAGCTCCCTAGGTAATTCTTCTCCCTAATGGGTTTGGGATTTGTTCTTTTTCTATTATCTTTGGGCTAATGTGCTGCTCAAAATCATTGAAAATGACAGGAAGAATGTCAGTCATTATGTGTGTGTGGGAGGTGAGGGTGGGGTTGTATTTAATTCATAAACTCTTACCTTATTATTACCACACAGGGAATTTAAAGAATTTAAAGGTATAGACAGAATGGTTATTTAGTGCTAGTTTCATTAACTGTGAATATCATGCTGTGAATATCATGCTAGGTTTCTAGCAACATAATTATTTTATATATTTCTTCGTTTATTTCACAGTTTTCAAAACAGGGGGAAAACATGTCTACATAGTTCCAAGTCGATGTAGAAATTTTACACATATTTAGTCATTTGATCAGTGAAGAACAATATACTGAAAAATTTAGCTAAACATTTACCAAAATTCGATCAACAATACATATATATGTACACAATATACTAAAGCAAAGAAGCTCTTGGTCTTCTTTGCAAAGTTAAACATTTTGTCCAAAAAACCTGTGCTGTGCAAATGTATAGGAAACTGGGTTTGGCATGGGTGATACACATACAAAGAAGACCTAGACCCTGACTTTAAACAAGGGGGGAAAAAAGATAACACTAAAAAAATGTTAATTATAATATCAGAGGCACATAAAACATTTGAATATCACCCAGATTGCAAATTGATTCAGGAAGACTTTCTGAAAGATGTGCCAACCAAGATGACTATTAAAGATGAGTGGTTATTACCTGGGTGAGGAAGGGAAGACTATTGCAGGGAGTGGGGCCAAGGGTGAAAAAGATAATGGTTTATGAAAGATCCAGAAGCATTTTAGTATTTCCAACCTTCATTTAATATGCATAGAGGCAGGCCTTTGTATCTATTTGGTCACAGATGCATCCCCAATATCTAGAAGTGTCTGATTCATTGTAACTCTAATTCAATAAATAATTGAATTAATGATTAATGTATAAAATGCAAGTCAAGAAACAGAGAGACATGAGTTTGGAATAGAACCGGACCACAAAGTACTCTGAAATGTTCCTTAGTGACCCTTTTGTACTGTTTTTTCTCATTTAGGCCCTTCCTGCTCTGGGATATCTAGTGATAGATAACATAGTGGTTCCTTCTCAATAATCAACACTCCTATTTACACTGGCTTCCTAGACCTTGTCCTCACAGCATGGAATTTTCTTGATGTAATTTCCCTTCGTAATCCCCCTATGTCCATTTACCTTGGAATATATTTTTGTTCATAGGAGATCATTTAAAATGCCTTAAATTCATCATGGGAGAAAACTTTTCCAGATATTTTTGGTCATCCATGGCATTGTTCATACTCATGGAGTTAAAGGCATTGAGTTCATTTCTTAGGTCTGACATGTACCAGGCCTAAAACTTTGAGATAATTACCTTTAAAATGCATAAATTGCAGGTTCAAATAAATATGAAAAGTCTTGTAAATTCTAAGACATGACACGAATGTAAGAAATTACCAATTTATTACTGCCTACAAGGTCATAAAACCAAGAAATTAAATAATATGTATAAAAATTTCATGCATTATCACTATTGTTGTGGGATTACATTTTGTAAAACATAGATAAACATTTTTGGCAACTTTCAAATCACATCACGTAGTCAACTTCTTTTTCCATCTATATTAAAAGTAACATTAAACTAAAACCATGGATACTGGAGATTATTATTTATCCCCAAATAACTCTTAATCTTCTTTCCTTGAGTTCAAATTTGATTTCAAATAGCATTTTCTGATGACTATATAAACACTCATATTAATGTTTATTATTTTTTGTGTACATATGTACATGTATAGCCAAACACATATATGCATGCACATGTACACATGTATACATACTTACACACTTAACATTCATTCACTACCCANCGTACATGTATAGCCAAACACATATATGCATGCACATATACACATGTATGCATGCATGTACACATGTATACATACTTACACACTTAACATTCATTCACTACCCAAAAATGCAAATGAACACTTGCATTTTTCTCTTTGTGAAATATAGTGCCCAATCAAGCTCTCACATACACTAAATTTACTTGTTCCTGATCTCATGTATATAAAATGAGAAGTAGTCTTTCAAATCAGACACATAGCACTAAACATGTTAGTTCACATTAATTAATGAAATTTTGGAGGAAAGCATTCTTCTTAAGAGAACAACAGTGTATTGATCTGGTTCAGTGAGTGAAGCAGGACATTATAGAAAGAACACCTGAGATCTACAGATAACCTGAGTTTTGTGAAATCATCAGAAAAGAAGTCCAGTACCTAAGTTACCATGGTTTCTTACAAAAACAGAGTCATGAAACCTCAGAATCATCATGTTGAGTGGTTAATAGATGTGAGATATGAATTTCCCCATGAGTTTTTAAACTAATACTATATTATAAAATACATCTTTTACTCTTTTTGAACATAGTGACACCCAGTAAAAATGACTGCATATGTTGGCCTGGTTGGGTTGTTCAGCTGGTTGGAGAATTGTCTTCTACACCAAAGGGTTGAGGGTTCGATTCCCAGTCAGGGAGTGTACGGGAGGCAACCAATTGATGTTTTTCTCTCACATCAACATTTTGCCCACTCTCTCTCCCTTCCTCTCTCTCTAAAAATCAACAAATGTATCTTTGGGTGAGGATTTTAAAAAAAATGACAGCATATGTAATTTTAATAATATTTAATATTATCTTTACTATTTTTCTTTCCAGATGGATAGTGTTTCTTCCTATTTTTAAAGAACGCAAAGTAGAAGACTGGTGAATATTATAAGAACACACCGAAAAGTGCATTGTTACTATGGCAATAAAAAAGAGAACAAATGTCCAAATTCTTTTTGGTGAAATTTCATTTCTCTGTGTGAAATTTGCAATTCCCTGTGATAAGTACAAACAAATATTTTTCATGTAACATTTCCAGTTAAATTAAATACTTCTATTTAACTTACATGTATTGAACACTTATGTTCCTGGTAATTCAGTATACAGACATCACTAGAACACCTTTTCTGACCTCTTTAAGCCTATTTGGGGAAACTGTTAAACTGATAACCTCAAAGCAACAAGTGGTTGCACAGGAAGAAGTTGCACAGGAAGCAAAGCATCTCACACGTTCTTAAACTAAAAACAGACCCCCAGCAGAAAATAGTGACTAAATCTTCTTAACCAGTAGGCTACCTAGAAGGGAGTATGAAAAATTATCATAGAATATAATCTGGACTATAAGAAACTATCAAATATTTTATAAAGAAATGCACTTATCATAGTGATCCCTTTTAAAACTTGGATATAATCATGATAATTCAGAGCTTAAAACCCATTTGCCAGTGAGAACTAGTATCATAGCTTAAAAAGCCCTTTGAGGTCAAGCCCTTGCTCCCTGCAAAGTCCCAGTTCCACGACTTTTCCCTTTTCTCTGTACTTAGTCACTTTGACTTTCTTCTAATTCCTTGAATATTTTTTCTCCCCCAAAGCCTCTTTATATGCTATTTTCTACCTGGAACATCTCCCAAACTTCAAGTATCACTTTAATATCCTTGTAAAAGTCTATACTTTCCTAAACTACACCATCATCATCACTACCGTCACTCCTGCCCCCACCAGATGAGCTCAGTTCCACTATATAATTTCATATTATCTTATTTCCATTATATCTATCCCATATCATAATTATATATTTTTGTGACTTGTAAGCTTTATTAAGACAAAAAATGTGTGTCTCTTGCTTACAATATTTTTTCTAGTGCTTATTACAGGACTGGACATATGATAAGGGCATAATAAATATTTGTTAAATGAATAAGTATTTTTAAGATTGTATAGTAATGAAAAAGAAGAAAGATTACTAAAAAAAAATAATATTGAAGGAAATAAGAAACATTAAAGGACTTTTTTTGTGAGTCCAAACAAATATAAATATAAATCCAGAGGGGGAAATGTTACACAAGAAGGAGAACACAAATCCCATTAAATGGTTCAGAGAAAATTTCACCATGGAAGGGATGGTTCACTTGAATTCATAAGAATGTGGAAGTTTTAATAAAGATGTTAGGTCCTAATCCTCAGAAGTGGTAGCTATGTTTGTTACCTTATATGGCAAATGAACTTTGCAGATGTGATTAAGTTAAGAATATTAAAATGGGTAGATTAACCTGGGTTTTCTGAGGAGGTCCAGTATAATTATAAGGGACCTTTTCAGAGGGAAGTAAGAAGGTCAAGTTCATAAGAAGGAGATGCAACAAAAAGAAGTAGATACTGGAGTGAAACACTGTGAAGATGGAGGAAGGTCTGGAAATTCGGAGGTTTTAGAAGCTGGAAAATGCAAGAAAATGTATTCTCTCCCTGAAAACTCCAGAAGGAATAGAAAGGTACTTCATCAACTTGGTAAAGAACATCTACCAAAAAACCTACAACTAACTGTCTTTATGGTGAGAAATTAGATGCTTCACCTTAAGATCAGGAAGAAGACAAGAATGTTTCTTCTCATATATCCTATCGAACATCATTCTGGAAGTCTCAGCTAATGCAATAAGATAAGAAAAGGAAATAAAAGCCATAAATAATGGAAAGGAAGAAATAAAACTGTCTTTGTTTGCAGATGACATAATTGTCTATGTAGAAAAGACAAAACTTCTAGAAGAAAACAGAGGGGAAAACCTAGGTGACTGGGTTTGGCAATGATATAACATTAAAACACAAAATCCATGAAGGAAGAAATTAATAAGTTGTACATTAAAATTTAAAAGTTCTGTTCTGCAAAAAACTGCTAAGAAAATGAAAAGACAAGTCACGCTCTAGGAGAAAATATTTGCAAAATACATATTTGATTAAAAATAGATATTTGGCCTGGCAGGGTGTGGCTCAGCAGTTGAGCGTTGACCTAGGATCCAGGAGATCAGGGTTCGATTCCCAGTCAGGGCACATGCCCGAGTTGTGGGTTGCAGCTGATCAATGACTCTCTCATCATTGATGTTTCTATTTCTCCCTGTCCTTTCCTCTCTCTGAAATCAATAAAAATATATTTAAAAAACAAAAATTTTAAAAAAATAAAATAAATAGATATTTGTATCCCCAAAGTATGCAAGAACTCTTGAAACACAATAATAAGAAAACAAACTACCCAATTAAAAAGTCAGAAAATTTGGCAGTCACTTATGAAAGAAGATATACTGATGGCAAATACACATCATTGGTCATTAAGAAATTGCAAATTAAAACAATGAGATGGCACTACACACCTACTAGAATGGCTAAAATCCAGAACACTGACAACACCAAATGCTGTCAAGGATGTCGGCCAACAACAACTCTCATTCATCGCTGGCAGGAATGTAAAAATGATATTGCCAACTTAGCAGACAGTTTGTCAGGTTTTGCTTTGTGGTTTTTTTTTTGTTGTTTTGTTTTGTCTTGTATTAGGAAACAAAACATAATTTTAACATATGACCTAGCAATCATGCTCATAGGTATTAACCCAAATAAGTAAAACACTTGCATCCACACAAAATCCTACACACAGGTATTTATAGCAGCTTTAGTCAGAAGTGCCAAAAACTAGATGCAACCAAGATATCTTTCAATAGGTGAATGGAAAAAGTAAACTGAGGTACATCCATACAGTGGAATATTATCCTGCCATAAAAGTATGTAAATGACCTATCAAGCTACATAAAGACAGGAAGGAAACTTAAATGCATATTGCTCAGTGAAAAAATCCAGTCTGGAAATGGTACATACTATATCATTCTAATTATATGACATATTGGAAAAAGCAAAACTATAGAGACGGTAAAAAGATCAGTAGTTGCCAGGAGATGGAAAGAGAATAAAAAATGTATTGGTGCATGTGGCATTTTTAGAACAATGAAACTATTCTGTGTATCTTACTGAAGAATATGTGACATTATGCATTTGTCAAAACCTACTGAACTGTAAAACACAAAGGGTGAACCCAAATGCAAACTACCGACTTTAGTTAATTATAATGTATCATATTGGTTCATCAACTGTAAAAAATGTACCACACCAATGTAAGATGTTAATAACAGAGAAAACTGTTAAGGGGAGAAAACAGATGGGAGGGAGGAGGGGATAGATGAGAAACGTCTGTATTTAGTGTCCAGTTTTTCTGTAAGCCTGAAACTGCTCTAAGAAATAAACTTTATGAATTTTAAAAAGAATTTTGGAGAAGTTTGGTTAAAAGAAACAAACTTGCCACTTAGTGTTATTTTGCCACTAGGCAAAAAGAAAAATCAAAAATGGTTAATGTTTTGCTTTTTGTTTTATTTATATTTCTATTCTGGTCTATTTCTCCAAGTCAAAAATGGTCTCCCAAAAGACATGTTTTGGAACAGTTGTCAAATTATTAATAGAGGTAGTAGTTCTGACATCAAGTGAGAATCCATTCTATACTTCAACAGCGAAACACATGAAGGCCGGCGCTCTTTAAGGATTCCTCACACTGCGTATTAAACTTTCACAGAGCTACTTCAAAACACAGAAACAAAAGTCTGTTTAAAAAAAAAGGCTTGAATAAAAAAACAAGGTCAGCTCCTCTCTTATTTTACACACAAGCACTTCTATTGATTATAATGTTTGTTTCTTTTATTCAGTGGCAGATCCCAAGCATTCTTCAGGGAAACAAACTGGCTCCCAAAGGCCACATAAAAAGTATTGCCGAACAGAAGGTTAGATCTAAGGATGAAGCTGATCTCTCTATCAGGAGGAAAACTGTGGAGAACCAAACATTTCTTTCATTGGACGCTTACAAACAACAGTGCAGAACTTGTTGGGGCCAAAACTACAGATGATACCAAAGCTTGAATTTCAATACAGCATCTGAGCCCTACCGCTGTGGCTCAGGGGTTGAGCATAGACCCATGAATCTGGAGGTCAGGGTTCGATTCCCAGTCGGGGCACATGCCTGGGCTTCAGGCTCGATCCCCAATTGGGGGCTTGCAGGAGGCAGCCGATCAATGACTCTCTCATCATTGATGTTTCTCTCTCTCTCCCTCTCCTTTCCTCTCTCTGAAATCAATAAAAACATATTTTAAATAAATAAACACAGCATCTGAGAGTGTAACATTAGCTGTAACAAGGCTAAATATTATGATTTATTTTTTTGAGAGGTTCATCTATAAAGAGATTGGGAGCAATTAAAAACTTGAAATCTATATGGTTATAAGACTAGGTAATTTTCATTCTCCCCCAGAAGAAGATGTTTCCAGTAATAAATTGAGCTCCCCTAGTTTTTATTGCTAATAATTATGTCAAGTAAAAAACAAACTTGTATGAAGATTTAGATTCCTAAATTAAAGCATAAGAAAGGGTAAAATATAGAATAGATCTAACTGTCGATGTATACTTGTGCTCTACATAAAATACCACTGATAACTTCATACAGGTACCAAAACAAAGGTGGTATTTTTCATCATGATGATTTGCTTATAATAGGAGGTTATTACATACCTGCAATATTTTATAAAAAATTATATGTTTCAAATGAGTGGAAGCTCCAACTACAGTATAGGAGAAAGGACCAAAAAACTATGATTAAATTTATTCATGGAAGCTTTGATCAAAAAGATTGCAGGAAATGATTCCATGGTAATAAATAATAACTTTTGAAAATAAAATGTATTATACGTATTGAGAAAATATATACAAAGAAGGTACTTTTAATAGTTAGTGGGATGTTACACCCAGGCTCAGTTGGCAGATAACAATATCTTCACACTACCGATTCCTAACAGTACTTTCTCCTCTCCTGCTAAAAGCAGCTGAAAACTCATCTCCTTCAAAAAGTCTTGGCCAAGTGATCCTCTTGAAATTCACTTTTATTCTATATTTTAACTCACTATTTGTAGAGTCATAATATGAATTAAGCTCAATGTATATTGGCAATAATATTTAATCTTTATTCCACATACAGGTTTCTAGAGAACTGAATTCTTGGATTTTATTATTTTTATACCCCATAAACTTACAAATGTAAAATAAGCAATGAACACAGGGTTTTTTTAAATAGGTTTTTATTGATTTTATTGATTTTATTGATATCTGTGAGAGAGAAACATCAACAATCGGCTGCCTCCTGCATGTCCCCTACTGGGGATCGAACCTGCAGCCTGGGCCTGTGCCCTGACCCGGACCTGAACTTGTAACGTGCTGGTTCATGGGTCAGTGCTCAGCCATTGAGCCACTCGGGCCGGGTCAGTGAACACAGTTTTGAAGCACTTGCAGGTGTCATCATTTTCTGTATATTTGTAATTTAGATTCTGAGAAAAATCATTAAAATAATTATTGTATAAACACATCAGCAAAATTTATTAACATTTAAATTCTCTTAAACTTTGATTAGGCATTTACAATTCTTAGAATCCAAAAAAACAAAACAGAATAAATTTTGGATGTCTAATCACAAAAAAAGGGGGGACTAACATATGCAGCCCAATATTATAGAAAATTATAGCAAGATTAAAGAGAGTGCAATTGATCTAATTTTCCTAATTATATCACTTCCTAGATATGAGTCAGCAACCGATGGCCTAGTTTCCTTATCTGAAAAACAGAGATATTATTTGTCCTAAGAAAAGCAAAGTAGAAATAATAAGTGAATATACTAGCACACATTAAACAAATGAATGCATAATTATGTAATTTTATGTATTTTATACAGTGTATGTATCGTTTTTAAATGTGCAGTCATAAACATTTAATGTATTCTCATTTTTAAACATTTAATGTTCTTTGAAATACCCATTTAATAGTTTAATGTGAAATAAAAACAGTGTAATCTGTGTTATTACTTAGATCTCCTTTGCTTGACGAAGGGTTTCTGGTGTGTTAGTACCAAATGAACCTACAAAAATAGGTCATCTGGGCCTCACTTGGTGCTGTATCTAGAAGTTTGACATAGGAGTTATTTCAAACCCAGCGATTTGGTTAGACTACAAACTCCTGAGGAACTCTCATGTTCCATTATGATTTTATATGTACACACACATTCTATGTACATATATATCTATGTTCATACGCATATGGATTTAGACACACGTGCAGACATAGTTATAGATGTGTAGATATAGATAGATGATAGAGAAATTTGCAAATGTGGGCATATATGTGCATACAGAGGGGAACACACCCTGAAATGTCAGCAGACAATTTGTTAATAGATCAAAATTAAGTTTATTTGAATTTTACAACATGGAAAACACTACTTTCACAGATATTTAAAGGAAGTGAGCTACTTATAAAATTTGTGATCTGGACTCAAGTGATTTAAAGAATATTTTTTAAGGTAGGGATCTGATTGGACTGAGGAAAGTTTAGGATTTACTAGTTTAGCTTAAATAGTTTAGGATTAAGGGAAATAAGGCAAGGGTCTTAAACAATACATTAACTAAACTATCAGTTCATTAGTTATCTCTTTACTCAGGTATAATCTCAGATAAATTTTAAGGAATTTCCCAAAACAAACAAAGGAATTTCTCCAAAGTCATTTAATGGTTTATAGAATTACCTCTCCTAGAGAAAATGTTATTTCTGTAACAAGTAAACCATGGTGATGCAGTATTTATCAATGTATATGTAGGTTCATTCATATATTCCTTAGTTTTTTAACTCTGACAACTGAGATAATTAGTAGTAATAAATTATAAACCATTGAATAAAGTAGGTATTAAAATACTTCCAACACACTACTTATTAATTTCAAGGGGAAAAGTCTAAATTACAATGGGAGCTTAGCAGACGCCACCTCAGTCCAATTATCAAAGTTAACACCCCTAATGGGAAAATCAAAATTGTTTGTCACCCAATAATATGCACTGAGAACACAGCAACACGTGTGATTTTCCTGCCAAAGATGCAAAACTGAATCTAAGCATGAGTAACATCAGACACACCCGAATTACAGGCCACTCTATAAAATTACCGGCCTGTAGACCTGGCCTATCTACTTCAAAAGTGTCAAGAAGAAATGAGGAATCCTTCAGACTACAGACGAATAGAGACCTGCTGCCTAAACCCGTGGGGAATTCTGCACTGGATCCTTTCTCTACAAAGGACATTATTGCGACAGCTGCTGAAACCTGTCTGAGAAACAGGCCTGAGGGCCAAGCGGGAGTGCTTTTCTGATTTCGATAATTACTGCATATGGCTATGTGTGAGTGCGCTGGTCTGTAAGAGACGCGTAATAAAGCACTTAGGAGCAATGCAGTGATGCCAGCAGGTGACACTTGAGTTTTCAGGAGAGTTATTTGAAGGAAGAAAGAGAGAAACAGAGAGGAGGGGAGAGAGGAAGGGAGGGGAGGGAGGAAGAAAGTGATCTGCGCTGTACTTGCAACTCCCTGTAAGTTTGTCATCGTTTCAAAAAATGTTTTTAAAGTTTTAATAAAGCAGTGATGATGGGGTGAAACATTTTCAGGTAAGCAGGAACCCCTCTCCCGCCCACACCGAGCTGCAGCATGAGCAAGTTTAAAAGAGGGAGGCAGGAGACCCGGCCCCCACATTTGCTCCGCAGGGGAGAGCGGGAGGGATCATGAGGAGCCGCAGAGCAGGCCGCCCAAAGGGGGCCTAGAGGAGGAGGCTCGAGGAAGGAGGGCCTCAGGAAAACACAGCTAGAACTCAGCACTTGATGTGCATATTTGAGACACACGCACATGCAGACACACAAGCACACACAAAGCAAAGATCATGAGAAACAGTATTACACGAGGAAAGACAGAAATCTCGGAATAAGACACAAGTTCTCTGTGGGAGAGACCCCGTCTGTCTCCCAATATCCACCCTCACCTTTCCCCAAATCCATTGTGACATAAGATACAGGGAAGAAGTAAGGAAAGACGATAATGGTGATTTTCAAGGCAGGAAGCAACTAAATTACGTTCAAAATCAGCACATCAAGAAATCTTAGGGATACAGAAGTACCAGCCACAAACAAAAATTGTTCCAAGTGATTGTCTCTGTAAAGGAGAAGTTGGAAACGAGGGTGGGTGGAGGAGAGAAGAGATGGACTTCATAAGAAAATTTTATTATTTTTTTACATTTCTTTCAGATGCATGCTTTTTATTTTTTATTTTTAGTGAATGGTTTTGATCTGAGTTAATTTCTCATTTTATGACAGGTGGTATTATTTAGACATTATGAGAGACAAGTGGGATAGGAATCCACTAGCGGTCCTCCCCCTGAGTTTCCAGATCCCTGTGCTAGCATTCTCTAAACTGTAGTTTATAATTCATTAGTAGATCATGAAGTCATTTTAGTGAGCATATTTATTATGTTAGTTTTGCTTGAAATGAATAGGATAGGATAGGATAGGATAGGATAGAATAGAATAGAATAGAATAGAATAGAATAGAATAGAATAGAATAGAATAGAATAGAATAGAATAGAATAGAATAGAATAGAATAGAATAGAATAGAATAGAATAGAATAGAATAGAATAGAATAGAATAGAATAGAATAGAATAGAATAGAATAGAATAGAATAGAATAGAATAGAATAGAATAGAATAGAATAGAATAGAATAGAATAGAATAGAATAGAATAGAATAGAATAGAATAGAATAGAATAGAATAGAATAGAATAGAATAGAATAGAATAGAATAGAATAGAATAGAATAGAATAGAATAGAATAGAATAGAATAGAATAGAATAGAATAGAATAGAATAGAATA